AAAACGCCGCTTGTCAATTAATCGAAAGTCGATCGATAAGATAATCAACTAATGATTAATGAATTAATCGATAATTTGCATCCCTAACTCAACCACTTAAAGCGCTTTCACACAGCATACAACATTCACCAAATTCAGTGACACACTAATGCATCACAGTTTATAAACATATCTAGGAGCTGTCTCTATACAAACTGATTAATCTGCAATATTAGGTTCAGTACCCAAGGGTTCTCCAGCATGTGATCCAAGTAAGTATTGAACCTCTAAACAGTGTTGGGGAGTAACGGATTACATGTAACAACGTTACGTAATTTAATTACAAAAAAAGAATAACTGTAATTCGTTACAGTTACAATGAGAAAATATGTAATTGAGTTACAGTTACTTCCGAAAATATTAAGAATTACAAATGTAGTTACATTTTTTTTTTTTTAAATATAAAGAAACACCTTTGCGAAATATGCAACTCACTGATAGACGAAGCGTATTGATTTACTAATATTTGACCGTTTGGTGTTGATGCATGACAAACGTTTATCGATGTCTATGACCTAGCCTAGCCTAGCCTAGCCTAGCCTACCCAACTGTAGGGTGACCAGACGTCCTCTTTTTCCCGGACATGTCCTACATTTCAGACTAGGGTTGTCAAAAGTATCGATACTTAAAAAAATATAGATACTAAAATGTTGTATCCGGATACGCCCCTTGTGTCCGATTTATTTATGTATTTATTTACGTCGTTTATGATCATTAACAAGACGTTAGCCTTGAACTGCTAGCTGCGGCCAATAGCTAATAATAACATGCTAAAATTAATCATGGGTTAATACTCATTAAAACCTTAAAGTAATCAAAAAGTAATCAAAAGTAATTAGTTACATTACTTTTTTTAAAATAATCGAAAAAGTTACACTGCAATTACATTTTAAACAAGGTAACTTGTAAATGTAACGGATTACATTTTTAAAGTAACTTACCCAACACTGACTCTAACTTTGCAACTAGTAGGCAGCTGTTCTTCCTTTGCAAAGACATTTTGAATAGCGTCGGTTGAGTAGTCCTAAATAGCTATTGGTTATTTATGAAATGTGTTAGTTGGGAGGTTGCTAACCAATGGAGCACTTGCTTATTTTTGTTCCGAAAAATGACAACGTGTGCTAAAGTAGTTTTAAGAATGGTATCCATATGCACACAAAGTAAGATTTATTTAAATCTTACCACATTACTCTTTTGAGAAATGTTTCACCCAACATATCTGCCCATTTAGTGCGTCATCTTAATTGAAATAGACACACATTCATGACTGATCAAAAAATATATGACACTACAACACAAGAAACCATTTTTTTTGTTAATGTTTTTTTTCTTTCATCAAATTTTTTCAAATCTTATCATGAAGGAATTATCACACTTCAAATGAGCAATTCTTTTTCAACTCATCTATTAAAACATATCAATTGTAAAAAAAAAAAAAAAAAAAGATACCATAAAGATTTGTAGAAAAATACCATAAATGAAAGCAAAGTTATTTTTAAATGGATCTCTCTAGAAATTGCTAATATTATTTTTGAAAGTTTAGAAAACGTATTGAATTATTAATGGGCATGTTAGGGGTCATAAAAACGGAATTGAGTAAGACATTTAATTCAGAATATAATTTAAAAATAATTACCTCCAGAAATGTTTTAATTGTGGCACTCCTATTCATGGTGAATGAATTTTAGAAGGCTTATGTGGGCATGACAAGTTGTTAGCTCACTGTATAAAAGACCAGCTACAGCCGTTAGTTTATAAACTAGATACTAATTTTATACTCAGACTAGATTTTCTCTCAGTAGCACAGAGCTTAGTCCATTTTCGATTCAATTCAGATTTATCAGTGCAAAAAAAAAATGTTATCTCTACGAACATAAGAGGAATTCCAAATTTAATCAACTGTAATGCATATTGGCCACTAGAGTGGACAGCTATTTAAAAGCCATTTTCTTGAGTTTTTTATGTTTTAAATGTGCATAGGCCACTGAAATGGACACTAGTGCATCATGCAATGAAAAGTTTAAAAAAATTCTATTAAAATACTATTAAAGACGGGCTGAGATTAAAAATAAATTAAGAGGTTGGATGAGCTGGAATGATGAAAGGGATAACATATAACTGAATATAGGAATAGGATGAGAGATGCATGCAAAGCTCCATGTTTATGCATTATGTTAACAAAATATACAGTAATATACAGTATTTCATTATTAATGCTATATGGCATGTTTTTCCTTGAAAGAATCTGCTTAGAAAAGGAAAAATTCCTTGAATTAAGGAGCCAACCAAAGAGAACCAATGAAAACATCCTGCACCCTCCAGATGTCCAAAAACACCTTTACTAGTGTTCTGTAAAACTCAAACTATGATTTCAAGTTGTGCCAATACTTTACGTGAAACAGGTCTCAACACGGATCAGAATTATGATTTTTCTGTGTTCTACTTTGCATTAAACAAAGCTTTATGGCGTATGTAAATAGCTACGTTGCATTCTAATTACATTCGAGACAGTTTCCGAATATTTTTGGAATTAGAATAGAATTTTCAATGTCTTGATATTTGACAGTTGGTGTGATTCACCATACATTTGACCCAAAATCCATAGATATGTTGGATGGCATTACTGGTAACTATTGGTTACTACTAACATTTGGTTACATCAAGTGCTACAATGCATTTTCTGTTTATTACAAGAACTCGTGTTAGACTGCACTAAACCTTGTAGGATTCCCACAAATAACACAAATATGATGTCATTTAACAAAATTATGTTTTGTATGTATGTATGTATGTATGTATGTATGTATGTATGTA